TACATACATATATACATGTACATATACAGTTACATAAATAAACTTACTCATGTCTACATGTCTCTATTTATGTTACCGTGTATGCAGCGATGTTCACAGAAGCCGATGCTTCAAGCTAGGGATGGTCTACGACAATTCAATTGTCCAGTGCAGATTGTTCCGGGAGCAGCTCAGAAATAACACTACTCTTCCTCTGATTCGGGGGTACAGCGCTTGCCTAAACCGCTAAGTCCTAAACCCTAAACCCTANNCCTAGACCCTAAAACCTAAACCCCATCCGTGCGAATCAGCAGCAGCATGGCCCAGAAGGCGGCGCAGGGCTTGACGAGAGCGAGCCTCGACTCTTGACGGTTCAGGGTTTAGCGGTTTTAGGGTTTAGGGCTGTTCTTTTGTAGGTATCTCGAGGGATCTTCAGGCTAAGGGTTTAGGGTTTTTGGGTTTTAGGGTTTAGGGGTCTTAGGGTTTAAGGGATTAGTGCGCAGGGTTTCGGGCTTAAGGATTGCAGGTCTTATGCTCTATTTCGTGGGTTTTTTTCTTGAGGAGCTTGTCTTTGGATAAGTTTCCGTCAAAAGCACGCTGCATATATTTCTTCCACAAGCTTTCGCTCAAGTTCTCCCTGAAGAGCGCGTGTATGCAAGTATGTATGCATGCATGTATGTATGTAAGCTACATGCTACATGGGCATGTAGACCTTGTGGGAATGTGAACCTTACGCACAAAGGGCCAATGCCATATGCCATTCGTAAACCCCCACACGGAAACCCTAAACCCTAAACCCTAGACCCTAAACCCTTAACCACCCCCGAAAACAAGCCAAACCCAAGCTCTTGAGAAACCCTATGTAAACGCAGTGCCTTGAGAGGGAACTGACATCCGAACCCCCAACCCTACACCCTAAACCCTGAACCCTTCAACCCGAAAACCTGCAATGTAGGGGCCACAAAATAGTTAGAACAAGGTTTGGGGGTATACTACACTATATACTTATAATAAGGAACGACCCAAAATAGTATAGGTAATTCTTACCCTAAACCCTAAACCCTGAACCCTAAACCCTAAACCCTAAACCCTGAAGCCTAAACCCTAAACCCTAAACTCTAAATTAAGGCGCCTACAGTGTTCTCTTTGTGCCGCTTCGCCTGCGCAGCTCCAGCTCGGCGGCCGCTTCGGCAGTCGTCTGCCCGTCGCCGTCCCCTCGCTCCTTTGTAGGGTTTAGGGTTTAGGGTTTAGGGGTTTAGGGGTTTAGGGTTTAGGCTCCATAATGGCAGGCCAGGTTTAGGGTTTAGGGTTTAGGTCTGTCAGGGCTCTACAACGGTTACGATAGGGGTCCTATACAAGGACATATTTGGGCTCTATGGTGGTTATTGTAAGGGTCTTATGTAAGGACATTTTTGGGCTCTACGGTTGTTACTATAAGGGTCCTATATGAGGACATTTTTGGGCTCTACGGTGGCTACTACAAGTGTCCGAAAACAGAAAAAAACATTTTTCGAGGGTGGAGTTTTGCGTTCGGGTTGGGATTTGGGGTTTTGGGTTCGGGGTTGGGGGATGACCGAATATACACGGGTTGTCAGGCGGGCTTTCGAGTTTGTAGGGCCTTGGGATTTGGAGTTTAGGGATTTAGGGAAATTTGCGGTTTAGGGATGTCCGTTGCATGTTAGGTTTGCTCGTTACTGAGTTGCTTATAGACCTGGAATCTGGAAACACTCCAACGCTAATGAGTTGTTGAGGGTCTACACAAGACTTTAAGGCAACCGTTGGGATGACGGTGGTCAACATTCGTTATTTTGACGTGGATCCCCGCAAATTACGTTCGACCGCCTTTCTAAATGGGAGTTTCCAAATTAAGGGGTACCTCGTTTTGGGGTCCTTATATAAAGGATCCTACTATTCAGGGGAAACCCCCAAATCTCAAACCCTGGCCCAAGATCGCGGCCTTTAGCTTGAAGGCGGCATAGCGGAAGGCCACAAGCCTCCCCACCTGCTCGCATGTACGTAATATATGGGCCTTAGTAATTAGAATAGGGTTTGGGGTATAGTATACTATAATGATAACAAGGAACCCCCAAAACCCTATTCTAATTATTAAGGCCCCTTACACGCGCGCAGGGTTTAGGATTAAAGGGATGAGGTCTAGGGTTCGCACTAGTGAACAAGAGAGTGCATTGCATCGCATCGCACTGCATGGGAGTCGCCATGAGTACCAAACAGAAGCTCGCAACCTGACACACAATCATACACACACACCTACCTGCCGAGGGTTTGCTTTTATGCAACTGGCAGTAACTCTGTCTGCTAATCTCATACACCCGCAATTAAGTCCTGCACCCGTTCACAAGCTCGCCCGTTCCACCATCATCTGGGGGTTTCCGAAAACAGGGGACCCTAATATAGTACCCCAAATTAGTAGGATCCCTATTCTAATGACCCCAAAATACGGTACCCCTTATCTTCGGAAACTCTCATCTGATTTCATGCAATGCCTTTCGTTTCGTTTCAGTCATATTAGGACGCCTGGGCGAACGAGCGGACGGATGGAGTTGCTTCTACATTGGGTTTAGGGTTTAGGGTTTAGGGTTAAGGGTTTAGGGATCTTCTACATGCCAGCGTTTGCAGGAACCTCGTCGTGCTGCATTCTGGCCTCCGTATATATGCACATGCATACAACAAACGTTCGCACACATGTATGTATATACAGGTGTATACGCATGCACACGTTGTTACACAATACGCCATGCTGCATCACATTACGCTATCTTAAGTTACGGTGCATTGAACTGCATTCTATTGCATCGCATTTCAGTGCCGTACATGCATACATATATGGGGTGTCTGTATGTATATAAACATATTGTTTCAGATGTTCAGAAACAATGCATACTATCTGCACACATGCATACAAACATCCATCCATCCATCCTTCCTTCCTTCCATCCATCGTTCCATCCATGCATACATAAATACATACAGCCATACGAACATACTACATGAATACATGCATGCATGCATGCAAACATACATACATGCACGGACACACGGATACATACGTTTGTACAGCCATACATACATGCATACATACATAAACACACAAACACACAAACATGCGTATGTGTGTATATATATATACACATGTACACGTACATACATACATACATACATACATACATGCATACATACATACATACATACATACATACATGCATACAGACATATGTATACACATACAGATATACAGACATACATATAGACACATAAGCAAACATACATATACACATACATACAAATATACTTGCATGCATAAATATTTTACCTATCTATCTATCTATCTATCTATCTATCTATCTCTCTCTCTCTATCGATCTAATTATCTATCTCTATCTATATATATATATATAAAATAAATGTTTTTACATATCTATATATATATATGCATGTATGTACGCATACGTACGCACAAAAAATACGCTCGCAGACACACGCCTACAGCCACAAGACAGCCTTAACACTCCTTGTCCGGGGTCAGCAATGTTTGGGACCAAGCACCGTTACACGAAGGATCCGATTTTGGAGTCCTCCTCAGCAGCAGTACTATCCAACTATGCTTGCCAAGGACCCAAGAAGGCACACACTGAAGAACACGCATTCAAGAAGGTCAGCTGTGAAAGCCCCAAGCCGCAAACCTGGCAAGACATCCATAGTAGGCCAACGCTAGAGAGCGCCCCCATGCCAAGATGCCTGGGCGTCTTGGCTTTTGGGTTGGGGTCTGTAACTTGCATCCATGAAGCTCCAGATGCTTTGGATTCAATCGCTTGGTGGACGGAGGCTAAGGTTTCCAAGGTGAGTATGGGGATTCTGCATTCCGTCCCTAAACCGTAAACCCTAAAGCTCTAAACCCTAAACCCACAAGGACCTCAGACTCAAGGACTTTCCTGCGAGCTCTGTATTTTGTTGAGCCAGCCTGCCTGCATGCCCCCTAAACCCTAAACCCCAGTGGCCCAGCATTTGCATGCCAAAGGTGGCATAAACGGACAAGTACCTCCGAAAGTTTGGTGTAGGGCTCAGGATGCATGGGTTTGAGGTTTGGGTGAATAGCTTGTACTTCTGAACTAGAGCTTGCACGGTACTTGAGCACCGGGACGTGGCTGGATGTAGGCCGATTGAAAGTGTCAGTTTCGGTTCAGACATGAAGGTGAATCTAGGCTTTTGGGTCAAAGATCACTAGGGTTTAGGGTTTAGGGGTCTAGGGGTCTAGGTGTTTAGGGTTTAGGCGTTAAGGCTCAAATGCCGGACAATCTCAAACCCTTCTCTCTGCTTCTTCTGTACCATGGGTGCTCTTTGCAGAAGAGATGCAGCGCTCCCAGCATACCCAAGGTCGATGCCAGGTTCTCGTCGCAGTGCCTGGAGTTGCTGGTAATGTAGGAACCTGATTAAGAAACCCTGGGCCTTTATTAGGGTTCTTTATATGAGACCTAATATATTGGGGTTAGAGTGCCAGGGTTTCTTAATCAGGTTCCTACATGCCCGCAAATTGAAATGGCATCCGGTACCCCTACATCCCATCCCCGAGTGGGAAGTCAATATTACGAAGTATTCCGAGCCCTATAGTGCCCTATAGTACACTCTAAGCCCAGCCTGCAAACAAAACAGAAGCATCGGGTTTGCTACTGCTGATGACGAGGCCGTAATTAATAAGGCCTTGGGGCATATTGCAATTGGTATGCTTACATTAAAGAGCCCCAGCGAATAGTGTTCGACATTAAATGACAGTACTCAGGCACGCATATTATGTTCGGAATTTCGCGTCCGCGGCCCCTGCTCCCCCCAGACGCTTCAACAGAAAAGGCAGACCATGGATAATAAGGCCAAACTTTGTCTAAGTAGTAGGAGCAAGATGCGGCTTCTCGGATTACAAGTCTGTAGGCTTCTGGTTTAGGACACAAGGTCTAGGGTTTAGGTTAGAAAGCCGCAAGCCTGCCCGAACAACAGTAAGTAGGATCATGCAGTGTCGCTCCGCCTCGCACTTATTAAGGGTCCATGTACCTTGGTAGCATATACAGTGCGCCTATTTTTTGAATTGGGTTTGGGCGAAGTTGGTTTGCCGGTACATGAATGTATAGCTAGCTCGGGACTACAAGCGGCCAAGCGGGTATTCTAACCGTCCCAGGCCCCAAACGCCACAATGAGCAACCACGGCGAACAAAATCCTCCGCAAAATCCTAGATCAATCCTTGACGCCCTATCCCCAAGCCCAAACCCAGGGGCTAAACTATGAAGATGAAGCAAGACGATGGGTTCAGGGTTTCACTCCTACCCTGGGACTCCCAATAGCCCAAAGTAGGTACCATTTACAGACTTTAGACCCCAAAGTAGCTACGACTTGAATACTTGGAGCCCTAGGGCTATGCTGGCCGGCTTTCAGTCTTTGCCGGGGCGCTTTCGCGCAAAGTAGACGCACAGGATCCTCGGTCGGCCCCCAAAATCACTGCCTAAACCCGTAAACCCTAAACCCCTAAACCCTAAACCCCTAAACCCCTGAACCCCTGAACCCCTAAACCCTAAACCCTAAACCCTGAACCCTGAGGCGCTTGCTTTCCGGAGAGGAGATTCGAGCTCAATCTTCTGTCTGAGACCTCTTCCCTAAGGGCCCATGTCGTACCCAAATAGCACATGGGTTTAGGGTTTATGGTAGGGTTTAGGGTTTAGTTCTCTAAATCAGGGTCCCTTTTAGGGGTCCTTTTCTATAAGGGTGCCATGCTATACTGGGGGCTGGGGACCTAAAAGGGGATCATAATCTACAAAACTATCCATATACTTTGGCCCAAAAAAGTACCTATATAGGAACTGCTTTACGGCCAACGCATATACTATTTGGGCACATGGACCCTTAGGGTTTGATTTGCTCCAAGTAACAAACAAGTCAGACGTCCTATAGTGTTGCTGTCGGCGCCTTGCTTGCTGGGATGGGTTGTGGGGTCTATCCGGGTATTTCAACATCTGCTTATCGTGAGAAGGAATTCGAAGAGACCCCAACGTCAATCCCGAAACTGGAAGCTTGAAACCCTGAAAATCCAAGTCCAAAAACGAAGACGGTCCATGGCATCTGAGGGTTCCCGGCTTCCGGGCCTATCCGTCAACGACTTCAAAGTTCCGGATTCTGCAGGTTTCGGGTTTAGGATTTAGGGTTTTGGGTTCCTGTCGCCCGAAAGCCTAAGCACTTGTTGCGAAATGGCCAAGCACGGCTTTTTACGGTTAAGATAAGTTGTGAGAATTGCATGCTTTATAGTGGTTTGCATTAATAGGGCTGGTAGGGTTCAGGGCTTGTAGGGTTCGGGGGTTACGGTTTTTGGAGCTTAGAAGGGTTATGGGGTTGAACCAGTTCAGAGGGTGATACCGGGTGTATGAGACTTGGGGGGTTTACAGCGCTGAACAGTTTAGCGTTTAGGGTTTAGGGTTCCGGGTTTCGGGTTTAGGGTTCCGGGTTTCGGGTTTAGGGTTCCGGGTTTCGGGTTTAAGGTTCCGGGTTTCGGGTTTAGGGTTCCGGGTTTCGGGTTCCGGGTTTCGGGTTCCGCGTTCCGGGTTTAGGACTTGAAGGGTTTAGCAAGCGATGCCGCGACATAGAGGCTCGAGGTGTACTGACAGGGTTTGCCGAGGGGCCCAGAACCTACAAGGGGCCTTTACAATCAGGAGCCCAGGAGGATGGTCACCTAAACTCTACACCCTAAACCCTAAACCCTAAACCCTAAACCCTGCACCCTAAACCCTACACCCTAAACCCTAAACCCTAAACCCTAAACCGTCCGTTTTTAGTCTGCGACCCCCCTTCAGAAGATGTTTGCAATAAGGAGCCCACCAGGATGCCCTCGATCAGTCTGCGACCCCTACATTAGGGCTTAGGCTTTTAGGGTTTAGGGTTTAGGGTTTAGGGTTTAGGGTTTAGGGTTTAGGGGTTTAGGGTTTAGGGTCTATTTGGGCCTCAACTCCTAAACCAAAAACCACCCCAAAACCACCAAAAACAAACAAAACCCCAAAAGCCCAAACCCCAAAAACCCTAAACTCAAAACCCTAAACCCTAAATCCTAAACCCCAAAAAAACCAAAACCCTAAACCCAAACTGCTGCTGAGATGCAAGAGGATCCCAAAGCCCACCAGGGGCCCCACGAGGCAAAGCCCTGCAGGAAACAGCTGATAGGGTTTAGGGTTTAAGGCTTGGGGGATTATAGGGTTTAGGAGTTTAGGGTTTTGGGCTCAGGGTTCGAGGGTTTGGGGTTTTGGGCTTTAGGGTTTTGGGGGTAGGGCTTGCAGGGTAGGAATTTGGGGCCTAGGGGGGTGCTATCGGGCTTAGGGTTCAGGGTCTTGCAGCCTATTATGCAGCTCCAGGGCTTAAGACTTGAAGGATTAGGGTTTAGGGTTTAGGGTTTAGGGTTTAGGGTTTTAGGTTTAGGGTTTAGGGTTTTAGGTTTAGGGATTTGGGGCGTGTGGGCGAAGTGTTTGGGGATCTGAGAACTAAGCGTCTGGGTTTGACACCGCTTTAGGGCTTCAGGTCCTTAGGGTCTTTAGGGTTCCGGATTCTAAGGCTTTAGGGTGGTATAAGGCCTTACTGTTCAGGGCTCCAGGGATTTAGGGTCTTAATTAGGACTTTAGTGCCCTAGTGTTTGAGGGCTTTAGGGCTCCGGCAGTCTGGGCTCTAGAGTCTTAAGGATTTCGGGTTGTCGGGCTGGCTTCTAGGGTCCTGGTGTCTTCGGGTTCAGGACTGTAGCGCGAAGGGCTTAGGATGACGATTTCTGGGAACCCTACATCCTGAGCACTTAATTACCTAAGCCCTGAAGCCTGAACCCTTAAATCCTAAACCCGAAAACTGAACCCCAAACCTCAAACCCTAAACCCTAAACCCTAAACTTAGGAGTTGGGTCTATGGGGCTCCTGACAAGCAATGGGACGCAGCTTTCGCGCGAGTCTCGGGGGGTCATTTTGGGATTTGGGTCTTCAGCTTGAGGATTCGGTTTAGGGTTTAGGGTTTAGGGTTTGGGGTTTAGGGTTTAGGGTTGAGGCTTGTGGG